TCTATGTGATCCGCGAACGTAGAACTGTTACTAAAAATTCAGAATTTTATTATCCGCGAACGCCACTTTTCACACTGCGCATGCGAATAGTCCCTGAACCGATTCGGAATCGGACCCGCGAACAAAGCTATTGATTGGAACAAGTTTTCTGACTGTTTTCAACCAATGAAATTCGCTCGGGCTAATTTGTAGTTTCTGTGCGAACAAACCCATAAATTATAGAAAATATTCATTCTACGCAAGCGCTTGAATGTGATAATGTTTACATATCAAACACAAAGTTTGAATTTTAAATGAGAATAATAGAATTACCGGAATATGTGTATTACGCCAAAAATCATGAGATTTTTGTTGAAAATCATGGAATCATGAAAAATGTGTCCAAATCATGAGATCTCATGAAAAATCATGAGAACTGGCAACCTTGTTCCGGCTTTGATAAGGCCTGCTACGACATGCTCTTGTGAATTTTGGATTTGTGAAAGGACAGCTCCAATACTGGTGTTGCTTGCATCTATGTCCAAAATCAACATGCCTTTCTGATCAGGATAGGAGTGATAGGACAACACTGGGCTTGTATGTACATAATGCTCCTTTTAATTTTCTAAATGCGGAATCGCATTCTTGGGTCCAATTGAATGCTGATTTTTCTTCCGTTAATCGATGAAGCGGAGCAGCTATATTATCGAATCCTACAAATTTTCAATAATAAGAACATAATCCTAGAAAACTCCTTAGTTCATGTTTGTCGCGTGGTTTGGGCTAATCCCTGACAGTATCTATCTTTCCTTCCATAACTTGTATGCCATCTTCAGATACCACGTGACCTAAGAATTCCACTTTCTTTTGGAATAGACAACACTTATTTGGATTGAGTTTTAAGGTGGCATTCCGGAAGCGGTCAAAGACTTCTTTCAGATTATTGAGATGTTCTTGGAACGAATTTCCCATGATCATGACATCATCTAAATGTACCAGGCAAGTTCTCCAAGTTCTCGAACATTGTCTTTAACTTCGGCTTTTACTTCCGTGATTTTTTGTTCTAGGTTAGTGATAAATCCGTGTATGGTTTGAAATATTTTCTGTCGTTGTCCATGATCTTCTTGCTGTGCTTTTTGTCGCCTGGCCTCTTCGTCTTGTTTTTCTTGTTGTCATTCAGCTTCTTCTGGTTTTTCTTTTTGTCGTTTAGCCTCTTCATCTTGTCGTCTAGCACCTTCTTGTTTTTCTATTTGTCGTTTAGCTTCTTCTTCTTGCTTTTCTTTTTGTCGTCTGGCCTCTTCGTCTTGTTTTTCTTGTTGTCGTTTAGCTTCTTCGTCTTGTTCTTCTTGTTGTTGTTTGGTCTCTTGAAGCTTGAAGTTCCAACATTTTGCGGAGAAGTTCTTCAACTTTTTGTTTTTCCATTTTTGCTTGTTGTCTCGTAATAGATATATACAGAATGTTCTGGAATTTCCCTCAAACTCTCTTCAATTATCTTTCCTGGTCTTTAATTGAAGTTCCAACCACGTCGGTGAAGTCACAAATTGTATAACTTGCTTTATTCTCGAATAGAATTTTCTAGAATTTTCTTGGAATGTCTTTTATGGATGTCGATTGATACGATATCGCAAACATGTCGGTGAAGTCACAAATTCGATATCTCCTTTGGATTCCAAATAGAATGTTCTAGAATTTTCCCGAAATTCCTCGAATTTTTTTTTCTTAATGACGATTGTATCAAATACGTCGGTGAAGTCATAAATTCAATATCTCCCTTGGTTTCCAAATATAATTTTCTAGAAGTTACTTGAAAATTCACTATCACTGTCAAAATCGGGTATATAGTCACTTCCAAAGTAATTTACACAATCGATTAAGTCTCTTTTTGTGATTATCACTGAATAACTGTCCCAGTGTTCACTTATTACTTAGTGTCCACAGTGTCCACATTATTCTGCAATCGGATTTCACTTCGCAGTCCTCGAATTATATTCCACTTCTGACACCAATGTCACGGCTCTGGTGTGCGTGACAGAAATCTTGGGTCCGTTTATTCCAGAAAATCAACGTCCAATTACCACAACAATAATTTATTCTACTTTACTATACACTTTGACACTAATTACATACTTCACTAATTAACTCTCAAACAACATAACTTTGCAACTCTTACAAAATTCACTATCTAAATCGAATCACAGTCAATCTTAAACTTGAAAACTACTAACTAATACCGGCCTTTATAGTACGATAGTACATATATCCGTAATCTATTCTTGTAAAATTCAGAATCAACGCGATAGACCTTTTTCCCGAAGAGCAACGTAATATCTAGAATCTCAGTTGTCCAATTCTGTACACCGAGGCAGGGGCGTTCCGAAGGCTTTGGTAATGGGTGGGGGAGGGGGGGGGGGGGGGCGTTACGTCGTAATGAGCCAACTGACTTTTAAAAACCACAAAAAAAGTTTTTCTCTATGAAACTTTATGAAAAGACTATTACATTTTCAAGATTATTTTAATATCACAACTTATGTTTCGAAACGCAGTGTCTTCTTACCTGATCTGTGAAAACTCTCTCAATTAACGGCTAGGCAATGGCAGAATAGGGCGCTTTCTTTTATTCAGCAATGGATCCATCAATGGAGAGTCTTTCTTTGTCTAGTTCATAGAAAATCGTAATGACTCTCTCATAATGCTGTCAGTAGATGGATCCATCGCTGAATAAAAAATTCGCCCATATTGATATTGCAGGATGAGGATAATAGGTATTTTTGTTCCTACTGATTCAAATTCAAGTTTAAAAAAGCTTTATTCTCGAAATTTCCCAATAAAAATTATTGACAAAGCAACTTACATTTCAAGTGCAAAACAGGCAGATGATAGTTTAGGTTTGAGTTGGATAATATGTTCTTTAAAATCCAACTATTTATCAAGCACTAGTCCAAGAAACTTTACACTCTGATGGGACTCAATAAGCTGGTCACTCAGGGGTATAGAATTTATGGAGAATCTAAAGGAGATAATATTAGTTTTTTTTTTAATGTTAAAACACAACTGGTTCGCATCACACCATTCCTTAACCCTTTTTAGATCACTCTCAATCACATCCTCAAGCTCGCCCTTTTTACCTGTCACAATATAGTGCTATCATCAGCAAAGGCATAAAACTTTCCATTGATGCTGATAAAGGCGATATCATATCTATATACAGGGTGTATATTTTAAGTGATACCACTATTGCTATATCCGAAACGGTAAGAGCTACAACGTCGGTTAAATTAGAAAAAAGTTGCCTTTTTTGATGCCCATTTAAGACTTGTTTACAGTGTTGCCAAATTCTTTTTAGTTTATGAAATACAGGGTGATTTCTAAGAAACGCCCAAAACTATTTCACCAATTATTTTGAAAACTATCGATTTTCGAGACACAATTTAAATTTGAAAGTTTTTTAATTTTTTTCGCTCTACAACATGGTGTCATCAGATTTCAAATCCGATGTTTCGTAATCGAGCTACCATCATCAACTTAATTTTTTTAAATACGGACCTGTATATTTTATGTCATTTTTAGAAAGTGCCTTTTATTCCCTTTGTAAAAATGACATAAAAAGACCAGGTCCATATTAAAAAAAATGAAGTTGATGATAGAAGCTCGATTACGAAACGTCGGATTTAAAATTTGAAGATGCCATGTTGTAGAGCGAAAAAAATTATAAAACTTTCAAATTTAAATTGTGTCTGGAATATCAATAGTTTTCGAAATAGTTGATGAAATAGTTTTTGGCGTTTTTAAGAAATCACCCTGTATTTCATAAACTAAAAGGAATTTGACAACACTGTAAACAAGTTTTGAATGGGCATCAAAAAAGGCAACTTTTCTCTGATTTAACCGACCTTGTAGCTCTTACCGTTTCCGATATAGTAATAGTGGTATCACTTAAAATATACACCCTGTATATAAAAATCAAAGTTCACGGGGTATCCGGATATGCGCTCTAAAACCACTTATCCGATTACGATGAAACTTTGGTAGGTTATTATGGCCATCCCAAGGAAGGTTTGTGGATAGGTTACGCATCTCGGAAAAAAAAATTAATTTTGAATTAATTATTAATTTAATTGTAAACAAACTCATTCACATTACATAACAACATAACCCAACTTTTTTTGACAGCATGAAATAACGTTGACATATTTCATTTATTTATGCTTGCATTCAACCGACGTAACTTTATTATTTTTTCAATTCAAGAACGGCTGGACCGATCTTGAATTAATACCACGTATATACATATATAAGGTGAATTCGATTGACCCAGATTAGATCGATTTGGGTTCAATTTAAGTGAACTTCTTCTGATCTAGATCATTTTTTTGTTGATGAGGGTGCACTGATCCAGCTTGAATCGAACACAGTGTGGTTCATTTAAATTGAACCAGATCGATCTAATCCGGTCAATCGAATCGGCTATAGAGGAGAGTGATATAAGCTATTTTTTATCCCGAAAAAAAAAGTTCGGTTGCGTAAAACTCTGATACACTGGAACGCCTATAAACAGCCCGGGGCGCTCTAGAGCAGCTCTGGAGTGCTTAAAATGGGCCACTGAACTCACTGGCAACCGACTCTGATATCGGATAAAAAAAAAAATTAAATAGAAAATCAACAACAAAATTTGAAAAGAAGTGTATTATTTCAAAATGTATTTACACGCTGGCAACGCAGCGGGTCATTAGCTAGTATCATATATATCATAATATAGGCAAGGAAGAAAATAGGGCCGAGAACAGATTCCTGTGGCACTCCCTGGGTGATTTCTTTACTGTTTGATTGAAGATTGGTTGCAGCTGACTATCTGGGATCTGCCTAAGTTATAAGATAACGCCCATCTTGATTGTTTTTTATTTCAATATAGGTGATCTCTCTAAATAGAAAATTTAAACCGGTTAGACTAGTTAATTCTAATTAGGACTATTAGGAGGCTTTTAATTCAGGCACCAAATTAACTTATCTACTCTAAATTTTAGTGTCTGCAGAAGAAAGCATCTTGGGCAACATAAAGATATTGACAAGAGAAAAAGTCCTGGAGATAATCGAATCAGCTTATCCCAATCCTGTCACAATTCAAGATATTGCCAAGTAAGTACTCAATATTTTGAAACTGATTAACACTAAAAAATCCCTTGCCCCTTTTTTCAGAGAAAATAGTTGGGATGAAGAAGAAGTCGCCCACCATTTCTCCGATCTCCAATCCAGACAGTTGGTCAAAGCTATGGACCACGGTGCTTTTACACGTCAACAAAGCCAAGACACTCAAGTTACCATAGTCAAGCAAATGCCCACTATAACTAGTTCGAAGCAGCCCACCATTGCTATAATAACGGCACAGTATTGCGAAAAATTGGCTGTAGACGCTATGATTGAGAATAAAGAGACTTTTGTTAGATACACAACTGTTGGTACGTATAGATTTTTTAAAAAATAACTGTTTGAAAATTATATATTATTTGAGAGTTTATATTTGACTAAAAACTAGGTCCATCGAGTCCCACAGGTGATTATAGCAAATCAAGATTTGGTAAGCAAATAAAGGGCTTTGGATTGTATGGCACTGAAGCACATTGTACACTCTTGTTCAAAATTGCTTAATATTTGGACACTGAACACACACTATTTGTCACCATTTTCATGCTATATTTGTATATACATATCACATTTTTGCTGTCAATATCACGGAAGAGTTTGATGCTTAAAAGAAATAGAACCACAAATAAGTTATCCTTCAATAAATGTCAGCTTTCACTTTTTGGAAAATCTTTACATATTTAAGAAATACTGGGTTAGTTTGGATTAAAAATATTCAAGGTTGGGATAAATCTCGTGGGTCTAATTATATGGAAATAGTTATTTATGTACCAAGGCTTGTAAGTACACGCTACAAGTCGAGGTGCATATGATATTTTTTGTGCTACCGTACATTCAAGATAATAAATATCATTCCAATATTTTAAGTTCTTCAATACAGGAAAGTATCCCTGTGTTAAATGTGACTAGTTGTAAAAATGTTTCTTTTACTTTCAAAATTACAAAGTAAATAACTATGAAGTATCTCATTTTTATATTATTACCTATCTGTTTATGCTAATTTCAACTTTTTGACGTCTAGGTATTTTCTATTTGTTTCAATAAAATAGTATCCTTAATTTGTTTTGGGTTTTTTATTTAAGAAGTCGAGTGTTTTTGTGACATTATTTTGACAGATATATGAACCAAGCAATTTTCACCTTTCATATCAACACTTTTTTGGCCTGGTCAAAAAAGTAACTTTTTTGGCCCGGTCAAAAAAGTAACTTTTTTGACCCGGACTGTAAGTGACACTTAAAGTTCATGGACGTAGGTCAAAAAAGTCAACTTACAGAATGGGTAGCACAAAAAGGAAGTTTATTGCCATTCTTTCATTGAAATGGCCTGCTCAAGTTCTCCGATTGTAATTCATACAGTGAGTCAAAATCCCGTAACTAATAAATAAATAGGTGGTGAAACGCTTTAGTGCAACACGTGATTTCTTATGAGCTGCATTTCTAATGTTGAAGTTAGCCTTTTTGGACCGATTTCAATATAAATATATTATGCGGATTATATTAATTTTCAAGAAAAATCTATAAATTAAATTGGTTCTATTTTAAGATGCGAAGTGTCGGGTGTCGGGTTTTTGATAGGGCATCCTATCAATATGGTGGCTTAGGTCAAACAGTGAAATTAGCTCCATAAGGATTTTATTTACCTTTTGGTGGATTCCTGTTTCATTACAGTTCGTTTAAACTGGTATAAGTGTACTGGTTGACAACAAAGTGGGTGAAGCGCGCTTTGTTTTTTAAATTAAATATTAACATACAAGGACTAGCACGTATTACGTGGACGGCTTAGTTTGGGTTAGTTTGCATATTTTTGGCTAGTTTCGTTACAGTTCGTTTTACTGGTTAAGTGTACTGGTTGACAACTGGTTGACAGCGCACGAAGCATGCTTGTTTTTCCAAATTCAATAATAACATACAAGGACTAGTACGCATTACGTGGACGGGTTAGTTTGGGATAGTTTGCATACTTTTGGTTAATTTGGGTTACAGTTCATTTAATATCTACTGATTATGAGTGTACTGGGTTAAAAGCAAAGCGCGCGAAGTGCGCTTTGTTTTTTAAATTCAATATTAACATACAAGGACTAGCACACATTACGTGGACGGGTTAGTTTGGGATAGTTTGCATATTTCTGGTTAGTTTCGTTACAATTCGTTTAATACTGGTTATAAGTGTACTGGTTACGCTGATAGAGACCAATAGTGGGGAATTTTCGTAGTTGATTTTTGAAAGGTGGGCCAAATCGTCAATTTTGCATATAATTTTCCGATGAAAATCTATATTTTCCGAATTTATTTATAGCTTACATGTTTCTATTTGAAGGAATCTTTCTCAAAAAAAAAAATGCCGTTTTTATTGAGACTTATAAGTTAGCAAATCCAGAAGATTTTTTACGTTTTTGGTAGATCAACGTTTCCAATAAGGATTTTCTCTTTGAGATTTAGCGAGCGGAGCGAGCCATTCTAGACTTAAAAATAATTTAAATTAAAACAAAAAAAAAATCTTGTCTTATGCCGCCATATTGTTTTCTTCTGCCAGGTAGGTTGGATTGTCATTGGTGCCCAGCCTTTTACTACGCGGCGGTTCAATAACAAGTCTCTATTCTTATTATTCCGCCGCGGTGTAATGGTAGAATAGGAATAGGTTTTTTTTTATAAAATTGTGAATATTCGCTTACTAAGGCAAAATCCGCACTTAAATTGATACAAAACCAACTGTATAAAGGATGTATCAACTAATTTTTATAGAAAATTTATTTATTTTGGTTGTACTAAAGCGTTTTACACCCAATAAATAAATAAATACATAAATTAATGCTCTCATTAAAAAAAATATTCACTTAGGTGTTGTACTAGAATGTTATTATATCTAACTGCAATAAAAGTTTTAACAATTGTTTGTCAAGCACAAAATTGTTGAAAAAAATAACATTTCAAATTTTTTCAGGTGAATCTAATGTATACACTCTTGGAAATATAGGAGCTCACAGAATCGTATGTACAAAATTACCCACTGTAGGCCACACAAGAGAAGCTATGACAGCTGCTGGAAACACAACAACTAGATTATTAGGTGAAAATGTTAAAGCCTAATTCATTGGAACTATAAAACTTATAAATCAACTTTTTAGGTACATTCCAGAAGGTAGACTATGTCTTTCTAGTTGGAGTAGGAGGCGGCGTACCTCACTACACCGATTACAACAAACACGTTCGGCTTGGAGATGTCGTAGTATCATGTCCAACAAGAAATAAGTACGTTTATGATTTAAAATTATGTCTTAAACTGAAATTTGTTACTTTCAGAAGTATTTATTTGTATTGCGAAAACGCAGAAGTATCAGATAAAGGTTATCAATTCGAAATAAAAAACTACAGTCCAAACAACTTTTGTCTACAAGAAATCTCGACGCAATTAAAAGTTTCTGCCGACCAAGATTCGTCCCCAACACCCCCATGGTTGACCTACCTAAACAAGGGGCTCAATATACTGTCATCGCAAAAAGAGCCTGATTTTAACCCACCTAATGCCGAAACTGATAAGTTATATATGAGCATCGGAGAGAGGGACCTCATTGAAGTGGCGCATCCTGTACCGCAAGATGGCAGCGTCAAAAGGTATCGTTTCAGTATTAAGATTTACAGGAATCAGATGTGTATATTTTTTCTCTTTTTTTTTTTTTGCTCAAACAAAAAGGAGGAGCTTGGCAAGAAAATCACAAAAAGTAACCTTTACTCCAAAGGTTTTACCTAGAAAAACCTTAAAAAAGCCAATTAAGAAAATTAGGTGTGAACAAAAAATATTAAATCACTTTATATCACACAGTAGAGGATTTTTTCCTATTCTCATTCAGTATTATGTTGAAAACACTTAAAACATTGCACTGAACTTTTGTTGCCAAGATAAAAAACAGGGTGTTTGAACATAAATGATTACACTGTACTCTCAAAATGAGTATTGAGACTTAGCTGGCCGATTATTCCATTAGGAACTTATACTATGACTGTTCTATATTTCATCAAATCAAATTCATAAAAGCTTCATTGTCTGTAAAACCCAAACAAATATTAAAAATTGATCTGTAAAAAAAAGTCAATGTCGTGGAAAATATAATATTGTCACAACCCCTCTGTGACGAGGGGTGTAGGGTGGATAGATGGAGAGAAACTCGCTCAGGTTATTATAAAAATATGAAGCTATGAATGCTATGAAGTTATTACATAAATCCTCCAGGATGCATGCTCTTCCGTGGATAGTGTCATACGTTTGACGCTACTTAAGAATGTCGGTTTAATGCTTAATGTTACGTTGAATGCTAATTGATGTTTAACTGATCCTCATCTAGAGGGCGTTCCCAGGGTGGCGGTACTTGCACTAGATCACGATGCAGTTTCTCAAAGGGGCTTTCCCAGGGTGGCGGTACTTGCACTGGGGAGACTTGACTCCAGAGGGGCGTTCTAAGGATGGCGGTACTAACACTGGTTTAAGTTTGTCTGTTGCTCAGCTTGGCCCACTATTTATAAGATTTTACTGCTGAATTGCAATAAACATCCAAATGAATTGGCAATTAAATTATTAAGTTTGAATACCGGGTCCTTTTTTCCTAAGTAGCTAGTTGACATATGCCCCCCTCCATCAGGGGCGTAGTCACCGGTGTTCCGCGTGTTCTGCGGAACACGGGCCCGGTAGCTCAAAGGGCCCGGTTTCACGTGTCAATATTATTTTTTCTTCTATCAATTAAAAAAAATACATTTGAAGCTAATTTATATAAAAATAAAAATCATGTGTAGCATCGTACATGTGTTGAGAAGTGAAATTTCTTAAAAACTATTCCTTCCCTCATACAACTTTTAGACTCACGAGTATGAGTCAGGGTCAAGCACTGATGGCCGGGGTAAAGACGAAGGGCCACACAAAAGGGAGACGCGCATCTTCAGTGACATCCCAAAGGTATCGGCGCTTGACAATAATAGGCAATCCTCTTTGCTTATACATCCTTGGTTTGTGTCAATCGTTCGTCGGCTATCATTATCAATGGCTATCTTTCTTTGTCTCTCTACATTATATCATATCTTTTTTCTCTTTCGTCTCTATTGTAACAAAATTTGCCATAACGTGAAGTTACGTGATGCGTCTTCCAAACCAATCTCTATTCTCGTCCAAATATCAGACCGCCGCCAAAGGGCCAGTTTCTCTATAGCAAGTCACCCTTGGGATAAGCATAACTTTAGGGTAAACATTGCAACTGGGGACCAGTGTTGCCAGATGAAAAAAATAAAAAATTATATCTGTCATTTAAAAAAATGGTAAAGTCTGTTTTTTTTTTAAAGATAATTCCCCAAGTCAAAAATTTAGTGACTATGTTGGCAACACAAGCCTTTTCTACATAAAAAATTTGAAAGCATTGACAATTTTGCATTGTATTGCCAACATAATGTCAGTTTGACTTTTATCTTTAAAAAAAAAACAGATTTTATTTCACACACAAAAAAATGGTTCTATTTCTGAAAGGGAAAGGGGGTATATTGTTATATTTTATTGTTTTTATTTCTGAAGGTCTGTTCCAACACGTCAAAAGCCGTCCCGAGAACCGTTTCAAAACCACTCTGTCTGTATACTAACTTTGGATTCTACCCACATATTTTTGGTTTTACGCAGAATCGTGACGGTACAATGCACGGTTTTCTGCTGTGTGGTACGAGTCCATCTTAGTCTTAAAAAACAATAATTTGGTTAGAATAATGACGTCATGAGGTTAGCTGGAATGATCCTGAATTAAAAATACAATATTTTATTGCAATTCAAAGCATTTTACCACAAACGAAACAACCAAAAAATTAACAGCAAAAAGGAAACATGAAAGTCCTTCGATAAAACAACTAGATAGTGGTTAGATAAGAGTAGCTCCTAGCTAGATCTCACCACCGTTTCATTCTATTATTTGTAATAATTGTCGATACCAAAAAATAGTATATTATATACCTAGGTAGAGAAGTTGGTCATTATATACCGAAAGTTTTTATAAACCGAGGCGCGCAGCGCCGAGGTTTATAATGCTTGAGGTATATAATGACTTTCTCTACCGAGGAATATATAGGATTTTTTTTACTACTGCTAGTAAAAAATAAAAAATTTGTTTAAAATCTGTGTTCTAATTATTTTTTGTGAACGCCCTCTTGAAAGTGCTGCCCTCTATCAACAGCTTATATAACTTCCTATGTACCTACAGAAACCAGTATTTTTTTTCAAATTGACGTATGAAATTGAAATTGAACCAATAGAAACATGACAATATCCTTGCGTCATGACGTCATTTTCATTATTGACCTAGGTATTTTTTCATTATTTTCATTATTAACCTAGGGAGAGAAATTCAATTTTTTCTTAGAAAAATAGATTGAATAATGTCTATTTCTCAGGTTAGTAGTAAAAAAAAGACATTATTTATTTATTTATTTATATCACAGGAGCAAAGAGTATAGGTAATTTAAAACGAAGAAAATGGTATATGCAAAAAATGGTAGAACAATGGTAACTTTCTTCAAAAAATAGTAGAAAAATGGAAAATGGTATCCTCAAAATTTTTACAGGTATCATGAAAGAAAAAATGGTATAAATACCATTTAAATGGTATATCTGGCAACACTGCTGGGGACGTTTAGCTTGGAGTTAAAACCAACCCGGAAGTCTATTAATTGAGAAACCGACCCTAAGAAGTTTCACTTCAATGAAAAAATAATATATTTATATGTACGTATAGGTTATATTTAGGATGACGTCAGAGAACAAGGACTGACAATGTTGTCAATGCGTATTTGTTTTCTTATAATTTACCAGAAAGTCATTATGACCTATCAAGACCACTGACAGCTAAAAATAACGAAATGAATCGACACGCGTCATTTATTTGAAAATGTTCATTTAAATCATGCAACATCGCGCGCTGTTGCCAACCAGAAACATTTGAAATTCCCCTACTTTAAATGCGTTGAGAAGTACTTTTAGTTTTGTTAGATTTGCAGCAGAAATTTACTAAATGTAACGTCATCGTAAATATAGCGTGAAAATCCTATAGGTGAACTCGTAATTTCTTGCATGCTTATGTAGACTTATGATTTCTTTTATTCTGTTATAAAAACTGATTTTACCGCTTGTCGCGTGTCGCATATCTTCAAAATTCATTGGACGGCCGAACCACTCCATAGTGTGCCAGAATCGCCAAGTATGCCAACTCAAGATCCTGCAATCCCTGCATTGCGCTTTGTTTTGCTCAAGGTTGTTCGAGAGAATTAGGTTGCCTGATAACTTTATGACGTCATCTGGGGTGCCGAAACATAATGCATAGGTATGTCCATGAGCGGCATTCCAGATGAGTCATCAAGTTACCCAGTACCAGATAACCTATTAACTTTAGGAACCTTGGTTGTGCTGCCCTCTAATGAGGTGAGTTCAGCTTTAACATAAAGGCTCTTTCTGGCATGACATTGTACATGAAATATGTATAGAATTTTCCACAGAATCCAGAAATTTCATAATATGCAGAGGATGCCATTTAAAAAAAATTGATAACGGTACAGCTGTTCTTGTATAAAAACGTTAATGTGAAAAAATCTCAAGCAAAAATCGACGTGTCCGCAAGTTTTTCCGAATTTTTTTCATCTCGCATGAGTAGGGGCCCGGTAAAATTTTTGAACACGGGCCTGGAACATCCTCAGTACGTCACTGCCCTCCATGAAGAATTGGACCCCAATGCTTGGAAAAGACATAAAGATTAAATAGACTGAAATACGATAATATCCTAATCCTAAAATATCCCTTTTTGACCATAATACAATAAATCCTAATTATAAAATATCCCTGCTTAGTGTTTAACAAGTATTATATGTAATCCAAATCTAGAGTATAAAAAAAATTAAAAAATTTAAATTAACATAAGTTTTTTCATGGTGGGATGGGTCAGGGTGCATTATTATTCAGGTTACTACAAAAAATTCATCACCTTTACAGCTTCAGCGACGGGGTTTTTTCTTTTGGTCTGATCCTGTATTCTGTCTTGTGACTTTGTTCTGGTTCCAAGTGGGTACTTTAAGCGGATCGATTCTGGATCTAAGTCAAGTACTTCATGGTGGGTCAGCTAGATCTTAGGGTGTAAACGGTCCCACGGTCTAAGTATCGTTGCCTGGTTCCTGGGTTGTTATGCTTCTTATTTATTGTTGTGTACTCTTTCTTTTAAGCGGATCGATTCTGGATCCAAGTACTTCATGGCGGGTCAGCTATATCTTAGGGTGAACGGTCTAAGTGTCGTTGCCTGGTTTCTGGTTTGTTTATGCTTCTTGTTTGTTGATACAGTGATGAGCCCCTACTTAGTTCAGAGCTTACGCAAGATACCAGTTATCCTCCCAGTTCTGGTCTCTGCTTTGCTATGTTCGTCCCTGGTTGAATTTTTGTGAATACATGCAAAAAATAAATGTTTAATACATAAAAAAAATTGCTTATTTCTATAATTAGTTCAATTATGACCCACATTTGGGCCACCAAATTTCATCATTTGCTTATTTGTTGATCATGGCTCGAACCGGTAAGTTTAGTCGAACTTGTTTTTTGTATACCCATATGC